GCCCCCCCCCGCCCCCACCGCCCGCCGCCCCCCGGTGTGGGACCTTGAGTCTGGCTCTGCTGCAGAGGCTCAGATGGGCCCCCAAAGGATTCGGGAAGCGTGGATAGGAGTGCTCTCTGCCAGACCTGACTGATCCCAAGGTTCTGGCCGGGAGGGAGCAGGAGCCCAGGCTGGGGCTGTGGAGGCCGGTCGGGGACACTCATGGCCCTGTCCCCCAGATGCCCCATGGTGTGGGCACTGCAAGGCACTGGCCCCCGAATACAGCAAGGCCGCAGCCCTGCTGGCGGCAGAGTCAGCCAAAGCCAGGCTGGCCAAGGTGGACGGGCCTGCAGAGACAGAGCTGACGGAGGAGTTTGCTGTGACCGCATACCCCACGCTCAAGTTCTTCCGCGATGGGAACCGCACACACCCGGAGGAGTACACCGGTAGGGGGAGCGGGCACGAGGGGGGCGGGGGCGGGGGGCTGGGCCCGGGCTGAGGGGACTCTTTGCAGGCCCCAGAGAGGCTGAGGGCATCGCTGAATGGCTGAGGCGGCGGGCGGGGCCCAGTGCCACCCGGCTGGAGGACGAGGACGGTGCCCGGGCACTGATCGACGGCCGGGATGTCGTGGTCATTGGCTTCTTCCAGGTGAGCTGGTGGTACTGGGGTCCAGGCCATGGGAGCAGGGCCCGCGGTGCCAGCTGACCTCACAGGCTTGGGGCTCCTTAGGACCTGCAGGACGAGGACGTGGCTACCTTCCTGGCCCTGGCCCAGGATGCCCTGGACATGACCTTTGGCCTCACTGACCAGCCAAAGCTCTTTCAGAAGTTTGGCCTCACCAAGGACACCGTGGTGCTCTTCAAGAAGGTGGGTCAGGGCCAAGGTGGGGGTCGGGGCTCAGGGCCCTGGCTCCTGCTGACCCCCGCTGAGTTGTCCAGTTTGACGAGGGCCGGGCAGACTTCCCAGTGGACGAAGAGCTGGGCCTGGATCAGGGCGACCTGTCGCACTTCCTCCTCACGCACAGCATGCGTCTGGTCACAGAATTCAACAGCCGGGTGAGTTGGACTGTGGGTGCATTTGCAGGGGTGGGGGCGTGTCCAGGGGAGCCAGCCCCCGCGAGTGCGGTTTGCCCTTGCAGACGTCGCCGAAGATCTTTTCGGCCAGGATCCTCAACCACCTGCTGCTGTTTGTCAACCAGACACTGGCCTCCCACCGGGAGCTGCTGGCTGGCTTCGGGGAGGCAGCTCCCCCATTCCGGGGGCAGGTACCGGCTGGGACGGGGGGAGGCGGGGTGGTGGGGATGTGGGCTGACCGGCACCGACTGCCTGCCGGCAGGTGCTGTTCGTGGTCGTGGACGTCGGTGCCGACAATGGCCACGTGCTGCAGTACTTCGGCCTCAAGGCTGAGGAGGCCCCCACCCTGCGCTTCATCAACATGGAGACCACCAAGAAGTACGCACCTGCACACGGGGGGCCGCTCACCGCAACCTCCGTCACCGCCTTCTGCCACGCGGTCCTCGGCGGCGAGGTCAAGGTCTGCTGCTGAACTGCCCACCCGGGAAAGGCG